GACCCACTGCCAGAGGTGCGAATCCACAGAAGCACAGTGTTGGGTGTTTGCTCGGTGCCAGCAAGTTCCCTGGCAGGAACTGGTTCCCTTTAGGATTTTGGCTGGGGGATGGGCGAGGGAGATGGCGCTGGCGAGCGCCTTTGTTCTCCGACAGACTGCGCTCTGTCGTCCCGGGGCTCAGCAACTCTCCCTCCCGTTGTCCTCCAGCCTTCCCGCTCTCCGAGCAGAGCTGTTAACATATAACCTTCCAGATGTCAAGTCCCGCTTGCTGTCGGAACACACTCCGTCCGGCCTCTCCGCTTTTGCCAGCCAGACTCGGGGGCTCTGCTTGGCGGGTGGGCCGCCCTTCCACCCCAGCTCCCTCCTGCCAGTCCGCGTAGCGTGCACCGCCTCGCCGCCCTTCCTACCCTCTTCCATGGGCCTCTCGTCTGCGCTTAGCTCCAGAGACTCTGTTCTGCTAGTCTTCTGGCGGTTTTCTGGATTATTTAGGCAGGTGTAGGTGGAATCTAAGTGACCAGCAGGACGCGGTGAGCCCAGCATCCTCCTAGGCTGCCATCTTCCCTCTGATCCTTCTTTAATCAGTGTTGTATTGTTTTCAGAGTAGAGGTCATTCACCTCTTTGGTTAATTTTATTTTTAGGTATTGTATTATTTTTGGTGCAGTCATTAATAGCTATAGTAAATAGGTCTTTCTGCTGCTTCATATTTAGTGTATAGAATTGAAGCAGATTTCTGTATATTATTTTGTATCCTTTGACTTCATGGAATTCATTTCAATTCTAGGTTTTGGTGGAGTATTTCAGGTCTTGTATATATAGTATCATGTCATCTGCAAATAGTGAAAGTTTTACTTCTTTATTAACTCAGATGCCTTTTACTTCTTTGTGTTGTCTGATTGCTGTGGGTAAGACTTCCAATAGTATGTTGAATAAAAGTGAGAGTGGATATCCTTGTCTTCTTCCTGACTGTAGGGGAAAAGTTCTCAGTTTTTCACCATTGAGTATGATATTCATTGTGGGTTTTTGATATGTTGAGGTATTTTTCCTCTATACCTACTTTGTTGAGGGTTTTTATCACAAAAGATTCTGTACTTTGTCCGATGCTTTTTCTGATCCTTTTGAAATGATCATATGGTTTTTTATCCTTTCCTTTTTAAAAAATATTTATTTATTTTTGAGAGAGAGAGAGAGAGAGAGACAGAGCATGAGCGGGAGGTGGGGAGTGGGGCAGAGAGAAAGGGAGACACAGAAGGTGAAGGAGGCTCCATACTCTATCAGCACAGAGCCCAACGTGGGGCTCAAACTCACGAACTTTGAGATCATGACCTGAGCTAAGGTCAGATGCTTACCCACTGAGCCACCCAGGTGACCCCCTTCATATTTGTTATTAACCGTGTTATGTATTTGGTTTCTCCCATGTTGGGTGCAAAAATACTTAAATGATTTTTATATCTTTTTGTTGAATTGTTCCCTTTATGATTATATAGAACCCTTCTTTGTTTATTTTTACAGTTTTTATTTTAAATTGTTTTGTCTGATAGAAATATTGCTACCCCAGCATTGTTTTGCATGATAAATATTTCTCCATCCCCTCACTTTCAGTATGCAGGTGTCTTTAGGCTTGAAGTGAGTCTCTTGTAGGGCACTATATAGATTCATCTTTTTTTTTTAATCTACTCTGTCACCATATGTCTTTGCAGCATGTAGTCCATTTACATTCAAAGTAATTATCAATAGGTATTTGTTGCCATTCTGTTACTTGTTTTATAGTTGTTTTGGTAGTTTTCTCTGAGCCTTTCTTTCTCTCTTTGATGGTTTACTGGCTTTCTTTAGTGATACTCCTTTCTCTTTATTCTTTATATATGTATTACTGGTTTTTGATTTTTGGTTACTGTTAGTTTTGTATATAACATCTGCATATAGTAGTCTGTATGAAGTTGATGGCTGCTTAAGTTTGAACCCATTCTTTACTCCCCTCTCCAGCATATTTCACATATATGGTATTATATTTTACAACAATTTATTTTGTGAATCCTTTGGCTGAATTTTACAAATATACTTATTTATACTGCTTTTGTGTTTTTTACTTTTCACACTCTCACTTATGGTCTTTCATTTATACTCAAAGAGTCCCCTTTAATATTTATTGTAGGGCTGATTTAGTGGTAATCAATTCCTTTTTTTTTTTCTTTTTTCTTTGTCTGAGAAACTCTGTATCTCTGCTTGTATTCTGAATGATAGTCTCCCTGGATAGAGTGTTCTTGGCTGCAGATTTTTCCCTTTCAGCACTTTGATATATCATATTAATCCCTTTTTGTCTTCAAAGTTTCTACTAAAAAATCTGTTGGTAGCCTTATGGAGTTTCCCTTGTATGTAACTGTCTTCTTTTCTCTTGCTGCTTTTAAAATTCTCTGTTTATATCACTACTTTTTGCCCTTTTAATTACTATGTGTCTTGGTATAGACCTCCTGGGGTTGGTTTTATTGGGTAACTCTCTTCCTCCTTTTCCATATTAGGGAAGTTTTCAGCTATTATTTCTTTAAATAAATTTTCTTCCCCCCCTTTTTTCTCTTCTCCTTCTGGTATCCCTCTAATGAGAATATTATTATGATTGTGGAGTGTCTGAATTCCCCGTCTACTCTCATTTTGCAGCTTTTTTCTCTCACCTGCTAAGCTTGATTACTGTCCATTATTTTTTCTTCCAGGTTGCTAATTCATTCCTCTACTTCTTCTAGCCTATTTATTCTAATAGAATATATTTTTTTTTTATTTTCAAGAAAGTGAGAGCATGTGAGCAGGGGAGAGGGCCAGAAGGAGAGAGAGAGAGAGAATCTTGAGAAGGCTCCATGATTAGCATGAAGCCCAATGTGAGGATTGATCCCACAACCCTGGGATCATGACTTGAGCCTAAATTAAGAGTCAGACCCTTAATGGTCTGAGCCACCCAGGTGCCCATCAAGTATATTTTTCACTTCAGTTATTATTTTCTTCATCTCTGATTGGTTCTTTTTTAACTCTGTGTTAAGAGTTTGGTCTCACTGATGTCCTTCACTCTTTTCTCAAGTCCAGTGAGTATCTTTATGATCATTACTTTAAATTTTCTTTCAGGATATTACATATACCTCTATTGCTTATGACTCTTGCTGTGATTTTGTCTTCTTGTTTCATTTGGGACATAATCCTCTGTCTTCTCATTTTGCCTGTTTTGTCTGTTTCCTTGTGTTAGAATTGTCAACTAGTCTCTTGCTCTTGAGAGTAGTGAGCAGGGTGTGTACTTATAATGAGGTGGTAATTCTCCTCCTCCACAGGGGACATGTAGCTGCTGCAGAGACTCAGGCTGGCAAGGGAACTCCACAGTGTGTGCAGGTGAGGGTTGCAGTTTTAAAAAGGTGCCAGGGTCCTCCACAGTAGGTTGGGGGAGGCAGTGTTGGCAAGATTTGCAATGGTCTGGGAGAGGGGACCTGCAGCACCTAAGGCAAGTGTGGCTTTAAAAGGGGGCAGGGTGCAGTGTAAGCACTAAGTAGTGAATGCATGCACCCTGCTGTTTCTGCCACTGCACAAGGCTATGTGATTATGCTGGGGAGTGGGGGGGGATGGCACCTGCCAGCTCTTTTGTTCCTGGAGAAGTCCCTCAGGAACTCTGAAGTTAATAACTGACTCTCCCTCCTGTGCACCCCAGATGTTTTTCAAACTGCTGCTTCTAAGTGGTGTCTTTGAGAACTATTTGTTGTGTGTTTCTTTAAGGGCAGGGACTCATTTTCCTTTCACCCTTTGTGCTTGCTCTCCCAGAGCCCAGCCACTGATTTTTAAGTTCCAGGCTTTAAGTCCTGCTTATTACAGGAACTCATGAAATTCAATTCCACTGATTTTCAAAGCTAAATGCTGTGGGGATTTGTCTTTCCCAGGCTTTCCATTGTGATAGTCTCTTTGTCACCTCTCTACATGCCTGTGTTGCAGCTCCCTCCCTCTGGTGACCAGACCCAAGGGGTTTAGCTCCCTACTGTATGTATGCCCTTCCTACCCTATTCGATGTCACCTTTCCTTGATATTTAGGTGTGGGGTTTGTTCTGCCAGTCTTTGGATCATTTTCTACATTATTTGTGCTGATGTGAGTGTTATCTAGTTATATCTGTGGGAGGAGGTGAATTAAGGTCCTCTTCTGCCACCTTCCCTGGGGCTCTCTAGACCTTAGTTTTGAGGGCTTTAATATTGTCATGAATGCCAGATAAAGTAATTTTTTGGTCTACTTTAGGAAAAGTGGCTTTCAATTCCTTATGTTTTCAAAAGCTAAAAATAGTTTCTATAGTAATAATGTCAGGATAAAATGGGCTATTTTATGTAGTTACATTATCTCTAAAATATGTTGTTTTGTAAAATGATAACTTTAGAACTGTTAGAATCTTCTGGTTTACAGCAGTCCAAATCTTCAACTATATTTTCAAGTATGAAATACTTATTTTCTTGGTAGCGTTTAAATAGCAAGAAGAGTTTATATATTCTTCCCATAATGCAGAAATATCTTTTAACTTATATAAATCTCTGCCATCTTAGAAGGGTTGTGTTAAAAGGGAGGAGGCAGGTGTTATGAATCTTTATTCTTTGGTATAAACTACAGTGGCTGAGTGTTAATTGCTTCCAATATTTAAGTAATGAAATAAAGTAATAGGGAATTTTTGTATTCAGATTTTAATACATGGCAGTAGGCCTACATTCACTAATAATTTCTCTACATCAAATAAATTATTGTTCCAAGGAGAATAAATGAAAGATGGCATTCATTTTCTACATGACTAAAATTTTCATATGCAACATGCTGCTGGCTGTGGGACTATCAGGCTTCTTTGTTTTTCAAAGCACGATTCTGCTTAACTGTTAACTCTGCACTTGTGCTTTATTTGCAGCATCTGGCGAGGCCCCAATGTAAACTGCACAGACAGTTCGGGTTACACTGCTTTACACCATGCAGCCTTAAATGGACATAAGTAAGTGCTCCTTATTTGGACTAGAATCCTTGTGTATGTAGTTACATGTGATGAACTTTATTATGTTGATGAGACCTGTCTCATGTTGCCAGGAGTCCCTTGAGCTTAGGTGAATTTGAAGAGGCACCAGGGGGCAACACTGACAAGTTAAACTTGGTAGGAATGTTGCTGTGGATGATTATGTGCAGAGTGTAAACTGAGAGAATTGTTGTAAAATAGTCAAATACCACACGAAGAGAATGAAAGAAGTGATAGGACATGTTAGTTATGCATAACTGACGGGAAGGAATGGGATAAAACCTGTTATTAATGCCTCCCTACCTTTTTTGGGTGTCTTTATCAAACATGGGGAGTATTCACCAAGAGTAAAATCTTGATAGATTCTTACTATGAATATGAGTCACAGGCATTTATATGAACCACTTCAAAATCTTTCACATTTACTTAAAATGCTTTTTCTTTGTTATTCAAGATAGTCTTTCTGGTTTTTAATTTCTTTCTGTGGAATTATGTTTCAGTAATGTGATAGCCTACAATATGGACAATGAAATAATGTGTAACCATAACCATCACTTCATTTCTAGTATTTGACCTACCTTATCTTATGGTTTTGTGCCAGAGTCACAGTGTGAGGAGTCCTCTGAATGATTCAGATGTCCTGTCTTCCCCCATCATAGAACAAAAGGGATTCTTTTTATGTCAGTCTTTTTTATCTGTTTTTCCTTTGCTCTAATGGCCCAAATTAGTCTTCCCAGATATGGATCATTTAATTTCACTTTAGTTTTTTAGATGTGATAATATTGCCTTAAACATGCTAGATACAAAAAAATAAATAAATAAAAATGCTGGTTACCTTTTGCTTTCCCACCTAACCTTTCTTTTATTCTATGAATTGAGACACAGGATCAAGTCACACTTGATCACATTTTATGGACTTAAAGTTTTTACACAAGAAACTTATCATTTTGCCATTTATCATTGTGATATTTTTATCTTCAAACTTATTGCAGAAACCTAGCATTACCATTCTGTTTAGATATGGAGATGTATCTATATCTACGCATGTGTAATTATATACGTAATCATAATGTTTTGTCACTTGGATTCTTAGTATTAGAATTCCCAAAATACATTTCTGTTTATCCACTCCCTAGTCTATATTGAATCATCTTATACCATGTAACTTAGCACCTTTTATTTGCTGGATATTTTTCAAACTTTATTGTTGTCCTGATGAATTCATGTGTTCAGATTGCTATCATTTGAATGTTTTAAAGGAATTACTATTTTTTCTTCTTTGTACCTGGGTCATCAGGAATAAAAGCAAATGAAATCAGCCCAAGAAATACAATGCTGATGGCTTCTTTGGTCATCTTAATTGTCATTCCTAATTCAGAGGAAATTCCAGTTGGGAAAATAACTGGAAAGACTATCAAATCTAATGGACAGAAGATCTTAGGCCTGAGCATTGGAGCTATACTGCTTTTCTTGTTCTATCATAGCTTGTCATTATAAGTACTTCTCAAAATAATATTTCAAAATGGATTAGCATTCATATTCCTCCATGATTTTCCATGTTTAGAAAATGTTATTGTTCATACATGATGACCTATGAAGTTCTAACTTCTAACCATTGAGATATGGTTCCCTATGCCCACTGCATAATTGTTTGTTTCTATTAGCAATTTACAAAGTAAAGATAATTTAAGTGAATTGAATATCAATCATTAAGATTGTGACCATAAAGAGATGAGTGATTTGACTAGATATCTTTTAAGATCTCTTTGATTGCAGATATTCTCTGAGAATTATATATCTCTGCTTTTATATGAAGATCCCATCTTTTTAACATTTTCTAGACAGATTTTACTCAGTGTCATTGTACAGGCATTGGAAAAAAGCAGGAAAATTTCTGATTCCATCTTCCCATCTCTGCTGGGTATGTGACCTTTCCCCATTTAATTAACCCATCTAGTGCTGAATTCAGTGTACTGAATACATAGGCTGGATATTTCTCATTGTTCCTTTCAATGATTACATTTTATGACACACTGCTTTGGTATTTGTGGCTCAGTTATGTACTGTGATGCTAAAATTCTGAAATTTACATTTCCATAGAGTGTAAGATTTACGGACTTTAAATTACCCATGGATTTTTGTAATTAGAGATGATTTATTCAACCCAACCCCCCTCCCCTCATGGAGAAACAAGACCATTCTGGATAAATGACATAGTGGTCATTTATATATTAAGGTGGGGCTGTGTCTTGAGTTTAAGTGTTTTAGTTCTAAGTGCATGCCTTTGCCAATACTGTACATTATCTTCTCTTTGTGACTCTGCACATCAGTTTCCTAAACTCTTGCTTGCTTTCCTCTGTTCTGTTGTCTATTTCTGGACTGCCTCCCATCAACTAGTGTGTTCATACAGAATGCTAATTTTAATATTGGTTTAAGAAAATATATTTGAAGGAGAAAAAAATGTCATAGAATATATCTCAGAGCCAGAGAAGAATGTTTTTTCTTTGCTTTGCTTTTGCTATTCTCACTTAGCAAGGTAATGAACAATTGATTATTTTGTATTCTTCCCAAGCATGCATTAGCAGTCAGCACAGAAACACATCATTTCCATGTTTGTTGCTATTGTTGTTGTAGCCATCATCTGTAAATTGTGTCTGAAAACATGATTTCTAGGCTAAAGTTCATGGAATCATAGAGCTAGAAGTATTATTACAGGGTTCTGTAGTTTATTCTTTTCCTTTGAACACAGGCTTTTCCTTTACCCTCAACATATGGTCTAAGCCTTCATACTGCAAATTATGCCCATATTATATCCTCTTATTTTGTATGTTTTACTGGAAGCTCTTGTTTATCAACTCTAGTTAATCCTCAAGCAGAATAGGACCTTATACCTGAAATACATTGTTTCATAATGAACAATTCATCTCACTTAGCCAAATCAAGACACAATAGAAAATGTACTTCTGTTAGTGATTTCCTGGGTCATTTGTAATTGCAGATTAGAAAATTATTACCTTCAAATGATAGAAAAAAACCCCACCGTCAGTAGAACAAAATCCACTAGCAATGATTATAAATTATTTCAGTAGATAGGCAAGAGACCTATTTCTGTTTTTCTTTTTTAAAATATGGAGGATTCATTTTCTCTCTCATGTATGTATTTCTGCCACAAATTTGGTTCTCTTAATTCTCTTCCTAGTAGACATTAGCCAGCCAGCTGGCCTGATTTTCTGCCTTTCTTCTTGTCTCTCACCCTCTTTCCATCATTTCTTTCTTCCCTGCCTCCTTCCCTTTTTCCTTCCTTTCTTCCTTCTATCGCTTCTTCCCGCCCTTCCTTTCTTCTTTCCTTTTCCTTCTTCTGTCCTTCCCTTTTCTTTTTTTCTCATCTTTTCTTTTTTTTAAATAATAATCTTATTGTTCACTATAAAGTTTTAGTAAACATTTGTATTCATATTTCACTTCCACTCTTCTTGGCAAATTATTCCTTTCCTTTTTTTCTTAAGTTTCATCTCATTAAACTATATTGGGCACGTTGTGATTCTTGGATGCTGTTTTGAAAACTGTCAGCACTAAATTGTTACGTTTATATCTTTGAAATATATGTGTCTTTGATATGCGTGGGGTTTAAGTATTTTCTGTTCTTGCCTCATTCTTTGAATATTTAATGCTTGGATTCTAGACTCCATTATCTGAAATCCAAATTGTATCTCAAATTGTATCTAGAATCCAGATGGTAAGCTATGTGTACTTTTGATTCACTCTTTCTTAGGTTTTCTAATGAAAGGAGAGAACTTCCTCTAAAAATTTATATAGTCTGGTCCATGAAATTTCTCTTTGGATAACCTAGAAATAACTTGGATATAATTGCTTCTTTCCTGGATAAGGATATTAACTAGTTAAAATTTTCTCTTATTTACTTTCTCTGGAAATCTATGAGAGTGAATTCAGTATAAAAAGAAGCTCCAGCTATAAAATGGAGTGTATGTCCTAGAGTCTTTTGACCGTGTTGAATACATTTGCAACTCTGTTTCTGTTAAGGAGAAGTAAAATCTTCAAGAAAGTCTGAAATAAAAAAGGCCTTAATTAATTTGAGAATTTCATTAGTTTGTTACTACTATATCCATATAAAAATGACTTGTGTTTACTTCAGAGTTATTTAGACTACTAACAAGTAAGGGAGGATGGAACAAAATAAATGTCTTTGGTTATGATTCAATTATAGGGAAATTTGCTTTTGAGGTAAAGAAATTTGAATGTTGAACCTTCCCAATGAACTTAATTTTGCTCGGAACATATCCTGAAACTTCTTAAAAGACATTTCATATTAATTAGAAGTGTATTTATATCTATCAGAAAATGAAGCAAATTAAATACATTAGCAAAAATCAATACTTTTAGAATTCCTATTTTTACCTGAACTTCTATATTAGCTTCAGGCTGCAAAATGTTGCAATGATTTAAATTATGTTGTTATTAAATTTAATTTACTCCTGGGAAATGGAGTTATTTTTTCTGTGATCTCATCAACCACATTAACTTCAGGATTTTAGAGCAATTCTTATTTATCAAATGCTGTATATAAGAAAGAATGGCACTTTATGGTTAAGATATAGAGGTTATTTCTCTGCTATTTTATAAACTTTGTTCATTAATATTACTTAATATTTCATGTCTACTAACCTAGCACAGTCAACATGTTCATTTGTTGATACCACTGGAACATATAAGGTACAACTTAAATAAAAGTGAAAATTAATAATACTAATTTGGGGGGATCCTAATGTTAAATAAATCCTTTCAGCTTAGATACTATAGATAGTACCCCAAATTTAGTTTATTCTTAATGAGTCTGGATGAAAAGGGCCTGTTTAATACATATTACTTGTAATATACATGTACAAGTATACATCATTTCTTAATATACATCATAAGAAAGATTAATGGCAGTTTGTTGATTATCTTATTTATGATTCAGTAAGACTGACAGACACAGTTTTGATCAGAAATATAACTTTAAGGGGGCGCCTGGGTGGCGCAGTCGGTTAAGCGTCCGACTTCAGCCAGGTCACAATCTCGCGGTCCGTGAGTTCGAGCCCCGCATCAGGCTCTGGGCTGATGGCTCAGAGCCTGGAGCCTGTTTCCGATTCTGTGTCTCCCTCTCTCTCTGCCCCTCCCCCGTTCATGCTCTGTCTCTCTCTGTCCCAAAAATAAATAAAAACGTTAAAAAAAAATTAAAAAAAGAAATATAACTTTAGGGATGCCTCGCTGGTTCAGTCAGTATAGCATGGGACTCTTGATCTTGGGGTTGTATGTTCGAGCCCCATGTTGGGTGTACAGATTATTTAAAAATAAAATCTTTTTAAAAAAAGAAATATAGCTTTATATTTCACAAATATGTTTTCACATTAGAAACCTGAGCCATGCCAGTTCATTAGCTGATATCTTTGAATAAGGTGAAAGGTACAACTTAAATAAAAATTTAAACACACATTTAAATTTACAAATAAACAAATTTAATAAAATGAATAAGTTTTTTAAAAACTTAAATATAATAGTGTTTAGTTAGGATCTTAGTGTTCACCAAAGGCAATTTCATAGGCATACAGATTAGTTTTTTCAGATTTAGATATTAGGTACTGGTAATATCACATAATACAAATGTCAGTAAGTTAAAATTTTCACTACCTCACCAATCTTCCTGATAAATAAAGAATAAATGTATATTACATACATTATTAGAAAATGTCAACAGGACTTGAGCCAAGGAACAAATGAAACTCTGAATGGATTTTGTGGAGTAAGAGAAAATAGGATTGATGAACCCCTTAAACTATCTTCTTTACCCTTTGAAAGGAGATGCTTTTAGAAGTTTCAGAATATTTTTTTTTTATTTGGTTAGGCATTGAGGAATAAAGTTAAAATTCTTCACATAAGTATCTTTCTCTGATAAATGAATTTGGAAAAGGCTATTTTGTGGTAGTGTAAATTCCACTTTTTAGATCCATATATTTAACTGTATCTTCTCTTGGTATCATTTTACCTTTTATTTAAATACTGAAATCTTTCATTAAAAAAATTGCTGGGATTGGTAAACATTGCTGTAGCTTGCCTTGAGAATATGTGTGATTGCATACAAATTTACAGTCATACCTGTTTTTCATTTGATTCACACCACAACCCATTCAGATTGTCAGGAAGACGTAGTCTTTAAATTCTATTTTAATAATACCTGAAAGACTGACAGAGGTTATTTGATTTGCTCAAGATAACCAAATTAGTAAATAGTAGAGTTGGTACCTTAAACCAGATATTCTGATTTTTAGCTGCTTTTGTTATTCATAGGTCTTGAATCCTTTTTACCCCATTGTAGCTATTTATCTCAGAATGGAAGACCCTATATAGTAACTCTTGCATGGCAGAGAGGTGAGGAGAAATATATGAACTGGACAAGCTTCAAGTGTCATTTGGATTTTCATATTTCATTTTTACAAAGGTGATTTGCTGGAAGCATTTCTATTTTGAAAGGATTTTATTTTTACTTGGGGCAAGAACTAATATTTTCGTATAGTGCTTTACTGTTTATTGAGTGGCTTCTTTTCTGTGATCTCAATTAAAGCTCCTACCAATATTGACCAGTAGGCATTATTATTATTATTATATCCCCTACAGAAAAGAAAAAGAAAACTGAGCCTAAATAATTTCTCTAGGGTCACATCGTTAGGCAGTTTGTGTAGCTGGGACTCAAATCCAAATTTTCTAAATTCAGATTTTATAATACTGGTTCTTAAAAAGAATATTAAAATGAGATTTATTCTTATTTTCACTGAAATCTTATCATTAGAAAATCTAGGACTCCTTGGAACTTTAATATTTGTACAACATTTTTTTGGTTCTTTTTCATCATTATTTCATGCATTTATCTGTTAAATCTAGTGTTTCATGTGTGGGGAATGAAGAATAGTTTTCCCTTTACCATTCAAGATTCTTGGTGAGGAACTCTTCCCTTTCCCCATAATAAAAAGATAGATTAGCAGGAGAAAAACAAGAAGTTTAGTTACATGTATACCTCTTGTATACATGGGAGATAACCCAGAAAAACGGAATTAAACTGAATTAATCCCCTGAAATGGCCCTTGCCACCACCTTAAATATCATTGCCTGCTAAAGATGAAAAGATGTTTGTCAAAGAGAACCAGTTATGGGAGGTTAGGAGGAAAAGCGCAGTAAACAAGGTATGGGGTTGTTGTACAGATAGAAGTTGCTACCTTCCTCCTTGATAATTCTAGAGATATAGAGTCCTTTTTCATTTTCTGGTACAAAAAAAAGGGAGAGAGACTTCCTTACAAATGGGATTTCTGTTATAAATTTAAATGTCTATTACAAAAAGGTAACTTTTAGTCCATTTTCAGAGCTTTTCCAGCATCTACTCTTTCTTGAAAGTAATCAGCCTAAAATCATCCTTATGCCAAAGAGACATATTTTGGGGTGGTATATTCTGCTCCCCTTCATAAGTTTAGATCACATTCTGGGCATTATATTTTAGTTTTCACTGTAATGTTTGTGTTGTATCATGTCTAAGTTGGATATTACAGTTCAGAATTTTTGCTTTGAAAATTTGTTGGGGATTGGGTACAAAATACTATAGGTAGGGTATGTTGAGTATGAATTGATACTGAATCAGTAGTGGAACTTGTCTCATGAACGAATTTCCTTCTTGAAACCATTTTTAAAGAAAAAAATATTTATTGATTGATTTTGTGAGAGAATGTTGTATATACGTGTGTGGGAGGGGCAGAGAGAGGGAGAAAGAGTACCAAGTAGGCTCTGTGCTGTCGGTACAAGTCCAGTGCAGGGCTCAATTCCATGAACTGTGAGATCATGACCTGAGCCAAAATCAAGAGTTGGTTGTTTAACCAACTGAGCCCCCC